ATGGGATATGGACCCCCCCTTTTTTTCCCATTTTTTTTCTTTTTAAATCTGGGGTCGACTCACCTTTTTCCTATTCTAATATGCACTATATGTTATCAATAATGTAACTCTTTTGTCTCTATTAACAGCTTATAGAGGCAAAAGAGTTACATTATTGATAACATATAGTGCATATTAGAATAGGAAAAAGGTGACTCGATTTAAAAAGAAAAAAAAATGGAAAGGGGGAACCATACCCCATGTTCCTGTGCATACATGTACTGTGATTACGTATTAATCGTGATTTTTTTTTAAAAGAAGAAAAAAGATATATCAAAGATTAAAAGAGATTGTGAACGTTTTACACAACCCTCGTACTGCTTAAAATTCATACATCGTAAGTCTAGTTTTAATAAGAGTTAATGATCAGCTTAATCAGTGTTCTTACCTTGAACAAAAGAATGGTTCACACAGCGATATGCTTAACAATGAAGAAATAAATAAAAGTGTGCGTTTCATTATGGTCCGTAAATACTTATCCATAAATCAATTAGTCTTGTATTTTAACCCTGTTTAAATTATCATAAATAATATATTGAATATTTTCCTATTACACTACGCGGATATTGGAACCAAAGGACAGATATATTTAGACAGCACGCGGAAGTTTTTGTATAATCTGTAAACTTAATTGTTTTTTAAAACTAAAAAATATGTTTTATCGGCTAAATAATCAAGGGTGATATAAACAACTACATAAATAAGAACACAATTTCGATTTTATTTTTTTTTTATTGTAGATGAGTTGGCAAGCCATAATTTCATATACATGCTCAAGGATTAAAGTTTTGTCATGTCCGTTCCGCTCTCCTTCTCTCTATTTATCTAGTTGTCCACAAAAAAACTTTAATCTTGTACATAACTTTTTGGTTGGAGTTATGGATTTTATATTTCACTTTTATTCTTTGTGACGAGAAATTTCTTAAGGTACAGTTTTTATCTACTGACCTTGGAGTTAAAGATACATAAGAACAATTTTAACCTTTGCCCTTAGCAACCATAGAGTGGTAACAGCGTTTCGCAGACACAGCTTGCTTTCTTTCTTTGAAATAGAATTGAGAATTAAAAAACAATCTTTATATGAAAAATTTAAATGTCTAAACATAAAACACCTATTTTTCAATGCAACTTGAAAGAAAAAAAATTCGGAAAAATCCATTCTTTTTAAAAATCATTTTTAGCTGTTTATCCCTAATCAATTGAATTCAAAAAAAGATGTTTATTTTTGTATACCCCCCCTCTTCCATATGATTATCTGGTAATTAAAGTCAATGTTTTGATATGGGAGACGCGATATAAGTGTCAGATGAAAGAGTAAAATAAAAGATGCCCGATGGCACTATGTAATAAAGAATCTATTAAATGAAATACGTGGAGATAACAAACAATACTCAAGCTCAAAAGTCCATTTCACTATACACATTATATAGCAGAGCAAAGATGCAACCTCGGCCAGGGACCCCCGCCATGTGCTCCTTGTCCTTGAACTCGCTTTTTACATAAATCGGAGACGTTTTATCAATTAACAAAAGTTACTCTCTATCATATACCGAGTCGATGTATTCCAGTGAACTTGAAGAGACATCACAGAGTCTATCACACCTAATTCATATTAAAACGTTAAACAGACTAAAGACGATAAGGCCCATTAAGTAAATGCTATTGATGTGAATATTCAGCATCTTTTTAATAAAGTTGTGTTTGTTTTGTCACAAGGAATATACATGTGAAATATGAAAGTCATAGCTCCACTAAATCAAAAGTTTGGCCATATCTTTTGAACAGTAGAAACCTGACTTGTATTCTTTGTGAAAAGACCTTTCATTGGATTTCAACAATCTTGAGCTTTTGACCTTGACCATGGAGACTTCCGTACTTATGAAAAAACTTTAAACTTGGTCATAACTTTTGAACGGACGATTTCACATGTTAAAAGATTTTGAAAACATCAGTAAATACAATTTATTTCATTCTTCTTGGAATCAATAATACAGTATTCAAAATTTTGAATGTTGAAATGGAATTCAAGCTCTGTAGGACATTACAAATGTATAATATACATATAATTGTAAATTTTGATAACTTTTACCACGACAAGACATTTTCCTCCTTGTTGGGTGTTACTTTATCTAAGAAATGTTTTATTACCTCACTTTTCATATTATCTAAAACAAATTTTCTTGATACTGGATGAGAATCAGTTCATTTTACCAGGCTTATGGCTTTAGACATAGCTTACCAAAGTTGATGATAAGGGGCTTTTATAACTAGAATCTCTACTGCTATCTGAATGCCATTTTCGTCTACCAATAACTGTTAATAAGTACACAATGAAAATTATTAAAACATCGCTAACAACAAGTACACCAATGAATATATCTTTGTTAACTGTCCAAGAAGACATGGCTGTGTTTACCTCAGTTGTAAATTTATAATTAATTGGCTAAAATGTAGGTTAAAAGCTTAAATCAAAGTTTAATAAGAATTAATTTTAGTACCAACATTTTTATTTAAACACAACATTACACTTATATTACCCCTTTTTGACAATACTGCAACCAAAAAATGGGGGGGGGGGCAGATTGTCAACGTACATTAAATAAATGTCCCCTAATGATGTGCGCATGTTGTAATGATATAACATGCATTTTACAGCAATTTGAATACGCAAGTTTCGAAATTATCTCCCTTGGTGCGCTCTTTCGTTGAGGAGGGGAGTTTCGTTGCCGCGTAAACAGACAGGTGGGACAGATATTTATTATTGGATACATTGCATCATCGATATATACTGGTTTATCATAACTACATGATTGTCAGGATGCACTCTACAACTCGAGAATAAATGAATTAATGTAAAAAGACGTTTTTAATGCAAAAAAATCGTAACAAAAAAGAAAATGTCAGTGGATGTGAGACTTTTCAAACGAGGGAAGAGATATGGACCTCTAATAAATACGGTACACATGCATCCATCTGATCATTGCACGTCGGCAATCTAATTGATATGTTGATTCTTTTCCTTATTATAATTTTAAAAAACCCACTAACTTTTTATAAATTGTTTGTACAATTAAGAAATCGGTTACTTTTTATAGAGACTACGACGTTTCTTTCGTTTTCAAGTACATATAATTTAAAGTAGATTTGTAAATATGCATAGTTGAGCTTGATAAAATCATCAAATACATCACTGCTTAACAATATTATCGTTCTATAACATTTAATAAATTTGAAAAGCCATAAATATCGTTCATTTATTAATGCACATTTGTATACAGTAGCAACCTGTCCCACCTCCATGCTGAAATGGATACTTTTTGCGCCTCTGTCGTAGAAGAGTTACAATCTCGAAACTCGCGTATTAACAGAAATCATAAATATGAATGACATGCATTTTTTCTTAAATGCCTGAATACCTTGTTAGAGTTTATTTGACGATCCCTATAAATTATATATTTCTTATATTTCAATATTCAATCTGTTCTGTTGTATAAAGATTCATCAAATATCGCCTACCTTGTTAAGGTGGGGTTGACGCCCCCTTGTTCAGATTGACACCATTCTTGAGACCCATTTGGTTATATGTTTTATGTCAATCATGCCATCATTGTATCTAGTCATTTGATGTAACTTTTTGTTGCTCTCAGGTACAAACTTGATTTTATTTGTCTCTTAACTATTGATGTTGATGTATATAATTTTATTTACTTTTGTACATGTTTTTTATATTGTGCTTTTTGATCCATTGTCATTTATTGCATATTTCAATAAATGACCTTTTTTATTCTTTAAAGAGGAGTTATGTTCTTTTTGATGTGGGTGGTAAGGCAAGCAGACATAAAAACAATTTATGTTAATAAATGATTTATGTATGTTGCCCATTTTCTGATGTGGGGATTTCCCCTTAGCCAGCGATATTTTTAGCAGGCTTATTTACATAATATACTACTGCGCATGCGCAATTTCTCTCAAATTTCGGTCAAGTAGAAGCTTGCTGTCTGCCATCACCCACCCCTCCTCCATCGTGTACTTATTCATTTGATGTTGCTCGTTATGTTCGGGGGTTAACGCCCCCTTTTTCAGATTGACACCATTCTTGAGACCCATTTGGTTATATGTTTTATGTCAATCATGCCATAATTGTATCTAGTCATTTGATGTAACTTTTTGTTGCTCTCAGGTACAAACTTGATTTTATTTGTCTCTTAACTATTGATGTTGATGTATATAATTTTATTTACTTTTGTACATGTTTTTTATATTGTGCTTTTTGATCCATTGTCATTTATTGCATATTTCAATAAATGACCTTTTTTATTCTTTAAAGAGGAGTTATGTTCTTTTTGATGTGGGTGGTAAGGCAAGCAGACATAAAGATACATAAATGTGGCTTCGGCTTTTAATTATCATGTGCATACCTGTGGAAAAACTACATCCTAGCGAGGCATTGCAATACATACTATCACAGTAATATCTCAGTTGGCAGTCCTCGCCATACTTATAGATAACGACAGGTGCGTGTACAATTCACTCCGAATTCGAAATAACCAACCGAGCATTCTACGTAATGAAAAGTGTAGGTTATAAGAAAGATTCAATACTCAAAAAAAAAAAAAAAAAAAAGAAGAAGAAAATATAAAAAACTGGAAACAAAATGATATAAAAACATATTCAAAGAATACATCGTCATTGTTATAAGAATGGTGAACAAGAGTGAAGGAAATTTTATCAAATTATACAAAATTAAAAACAAAATCTACATTTATTTAAACACACAACTTACTTGTGCATGATTTTAAGCACTCGTTCCACATAAAATCTGTACAGCATGGTTAGATTGAAGTGCTGTAAAAAAAAATTAAATGATACATACAAAAATCATCTCTTTTCCAAAAAATTATTTTCAATTTATATTTAGCAAATAAAAATTAGTTCCAACAACGGGTTTTGCGTTCATTTACTTAGAACATTGGTTTATGGATGAACCCACGCTAAACATCATAAACAGAGACATGATTGGTCCAGATGCCACATCCATGGCTCTTCGAAGGGTATTCTTTACACCAGTTAAAAAGACTATTTAACAACAATATGTTTTAATAAACATTCATCAAAGTAAAATCAACATAATGTTCCTTCCGCATTCCCAGAACTGCCAAATCAAATGCTGTATAGAAATAGAAAATTTGAAGAAATCGACGTTATATAAATGCCCTATACATACATATTTTAAACTAGTTGTAAAACATGTAATTAATATTATTAACTTTATAACAGTTGTAGTAGCTAACTTAAACTAAAGCTCAACACTGATTCTTTATGATAGTATATCCAGAGTTCAACGTTTTGTTCAAGCCACCCTGTCCTTTTTTTCCATTCATTTAGCGTTTATTATGTCTTCAAAATTATCATATATTTTTTTAAATTCCAAAATTGCTGGAAAAGTTTCAATCACGATTACATATCAAATGTGAAAATTAAATTTTATTGAAATGAAGGGCCAGGCTCATTTTTTTTTTAGAAGAAAACGAGAAGGAACCTTAGCGTGGTATTATATGATAGGTATGAAACTTTACTACCTTGTTGGTTTCACTTTGGATATTCTTTCTTGGTTGCAACTTTTATTTGTTTTTTTCTTTACTCTTTCTGTTTGTTTTTAGGGTTTTTTTTACTCACCTTGCCATTGGTAAATTGCAAAATTATTTCGTTAAAACATTTTTATTTTGATTGCACACACAAGTACTTTAAAACTGATATTTAAAAAAAAACGTTAAAAGATGCTTGAGTTTCCGATTGCAACATCTGTGTAATTTTTGGAGGACAAGTCATCCAACTTCGGTGAGTTTCCCATGGGTTACAATTGTACCTCATTATAAGCAGACTTAATTTTGTATTGATATGATGCAGAATTCATATAAAAAAATCTTCATCATAAGTAGAATTTTGAAAAAAAGTAAAAATAAATATATAAAATATATAATAATTAATACACAAAAACAGAATCAATAAAATAAAAATGAAAAAAAAAATACAAAGCAAACTACAGATGAATAATAAAAAAATAACCAAAAATATTGCCCTTCTTTTTCCGTTATTTAATTAATTTTATCTCTTTTCCATTTCCTATCTCTAATGAAATATGGATATAACGAAAGGAATCAAGCTCCAAGTCCATGGACACAATACAAATTAGGAGCAGAACAAACATGGATCTCTCAATAATCAGAGGTAGAATAAGGTGTCATGGAGGAGTAAACATCCCCTTCGACGAATCACAACCACCATGTTTATTGTTTGTCACAACCAAGAAAAAGCAGCTGTATCTATAATTGCTGTCTAGAAGCCTCGATTTAGGATTTATCTTGTGGAATGATTATAATTATGAAGTGTTAAGAAGTCGTATGTTTGGTGTTATCGATTTTGGAAAAAAAATTATTTCAAAAGTTAAAAATCTCAAATAAGTATTCAAATTTGACTACTATTTTGCTCTACTTTACAAATATAATGTTGTTCAATACCCCTGAAGTTTTTCTTTAACTGTTATTTCTGTCAAGGAATAAATTATGAATAACGAAAAAAGGATTTGTAGAAATTTAATGGACCCGCTATGTATCTAATGTTATAATAACAATATGAACATTTTCCTTTTACTTTATTTAGTTATTTCATTATTCAAAAATATTGATAATTACTAAATAAAAGTATGTTGATAAGCCTCATGCATATGCATAAGTCACGTGTCAGTCACATGTTTGAATTTAGAATATACATACCGGGTATGCGTATTGGATGAATCAAATTTAAACAATTTATAAAATAACTTACTATTTTCAATTAGGTAAATTCCAAAAGTGATACTGAATTTATAATCTTAAACAATGAAGCTCGACCTATTTAGAAAATCTTATATATTAATTAGTTCTAGGAATAATGCAACAATGAATCATTAGTAAGACTTCTTTGCGTGAAATCGGTAGGAAAATCCAAGGAATCGAATGAAACAGATTCTTCTTTTGAAAGCAAAGTGGAACGAATGTAACGAATTCTTCTGCTGGTAGCCAAGGAATCGAATGTAACAGATTCTTCTTTTGAAAGCAAAGTGGAACGAATGTAACGAATTCTTCTGCTGATAGCCAAGGAATCGAATGTAACAGATTCTTCTTTTGAAAGCAAAGTGGAACGAATGTAACGAATTCTTCTGCTGGTAGCCAAGGAATCGAATGTAACGGATTCTTCTTTTGGAAGCCAAGTGGAACGAATGTAACGGATTCTACTGCTGGTAGCCAAGGGAGAGAATGTACGCATTCTTCTGTTGGTAGCCGAGGGAATGGATGATGACTGAAAAAAGAAATCAAAGACAGCAGCATCAACTTGTCAAAACAAAATGGCAATTTATTAAAATCTGGTAAATGGGGAGGGTGGGTGGGATGCTGAGCTTCACTGGATAACGGAAGATGTAAAAGGAAGAGCAAACTGCACATGCATAATGGATGTGGCTATGCGAATTATATACATTTGCATGAGTGTTATCTTTACTGGACAATATCCCTATTTGTCTCCATTTAACGGGACTTAACTCATATTGAGTTAAGTCTGATTATGTCGACAAAATAGATTAACAATGAGTGGCAGTTTTTGTCATGGCCTTATTGATTAATAAACAAAATGAATCATCAATACAATGATGTACTCAATGTATTAATGCAATGATGTAGACAAAGTGTATATTGAATAACTGCTACATAATGGGTACAATGATATACAATGATAGTTCAATGATATACAACGATATTCAATGATATGCAACGATATTCAATAATATACAATGATATACAATGATATTCTATGATATACAATGATACTTGCATTGCAATGAGCAGGTAACAATGTATTAAAAGGATATTTACATCGACTTTTTCAACAGTGAATGATGTAGAATGTTCATAGAACAATGATACAATGACATACGCCCAATTATTGGCCACGGACCCTGGAAGATAACAGAACCAGCAGCGAGCTTCTAGTAAAATTCGGCTATATGTCTTCATGAGAGCTAATAAGGCTGGGCATGTGAAGACATCCGCCACATGCGGGCAAATTTTGCCCATGCCATGACAAAACTGCTATTAATTACAGTTCTGCAAAATTAATTGCTGTTTGACATATGCAATATACAAGAGAATGCAAGAGAATTTTAGATGATATTTCAATTAATATGAGAGCTAATAAGGCTGGGCATGTGAAAACATCCGCCACATGCGGGCAAATTTTGCCCATGCCATGACAAAACTGCTATTAATTACAGTTCTGCAAAATTAATTGCTGTTTGACATATGCAATATACAAGAGAATGCAAGAGAATTTTAGATGATATTTCAATTAATATGAGAGCTAATAAGGCTGGGCATGTGAAAACATCCGCCACATGCGGGCAAATTTTGCCCATGCCATGACAAAACTGCTATTAATTACAGTTCTGCAAAATTAATTGCTGTTTGACATATGCAATATACAAGAGAATGCAAGAGAATTTTAGATGATATTTCAATTAATATGAGATATAATAAGGCTGGGCATGTGAAGACATCCGCCACATGCGGGCAAATTTTGCCCATGCCATGACAAAACTGCTATTAATTACAGTTCTGCAAAATTAATTGCTGTTTGACATATGCAATATACAAGAGAATGCAAGAGAATTTTAGATGATATTTCAATTAATATGAGAGCTAATAAGGCTGGGCATGTGAAGACATCCGCCACATGCGGGCAAATTTTGCCCATGCCATGACAAAACTGCTATTAATTACAGTTCTGCAAAATTAATTGCTGTTTGACATATGCAATATACAAGAGAATGCAAGAGAATTTTAGATGATATTTCAATTAATATGAGAGCTAATAAGGCTGGGCATGTGAAAACATCCGCCACATGCGGGCAAATTTTGCCCATGCCATGACAAAACTGCTATTAATTACAGTTCTGCAAAATTAATTGCTGTTTGACATATGCAATATACAAGAGAATGCAAGAGAATTTTAGATGATATTTCAATTAAAGTGTTATAACATTTACAATAACTATTGCTTTTTTAAACTGGTTTAAAATGGAAATGTTCAGTAGCGCTGAACATATCGCCCTGAATGGTATCTGCCACCTTCTGTGAAAACATGTGCCTGTAATAATTTCTTGGCAGAATTACACATAGGTAACGTAAGTTCAATACGAGACAGATTCAATTTCATAAACTTCTTTAGTAACGACGGCGAAGGAATCCTGAAGACGTCAAAGTTCCTATAATGAAAGGATTAAGACCGAAGGAATCCGAACGTGCGACGCCATTTCTATAAATGTCCGATGAGGAAACTAAAATTAAAAGAAGTATATACTGACAAAACGTCAGAGAAACTCAAGCTGTAGAAAGCCAACTAGGAAGTATCGTTAATATCCTTAAACGGCATAAGATGAGGGCTATCGAGTTCAATCGTCTGTTGAATAAAATACATATACATGAAACAAAATTCTTATAATGAATTTAATAAAAATTAACAATTGTTCTACTTTTTAAGATGAATTTACGTTACTCACTTTCAGGAATATTTTATAGAGCATATAGTGGCCGTTTCTTAATTTAATGAAATATTTTTTTAAAACATTTAATATACTTCAAAATATCTATATACGTTTTTTTGGGGTATTTTTTGCTTAATAACGTATATCAAATATACATCAATTCACATAGCTTGTTACAAGCCTGTAAAAAAGTTTTTCAAATGGGAAAAGGGGGGGGGGACTACAGGCTCCAAAAATCAACTTGACCTACGGGTTCATCTGGCTGTGCGGCATGTCCATGATTTTATACATATTCTGTACCAATCCAAAGAAGCTAAGTTATATAGTTTCTGTTACCAAAGTCTTCAGACAAGACAATTTTTTAAAATAAAAAAAACGTATTAGGGAGAATATAACATCAAATTTGTGCTATTATTTTACTGTCACTCAATGTGCACATCATTTACAGGTCTGTGAGAAGCAAAATCAGTTTTGGGGGGCACAGCCATACATTTTCTGGCCATGCACTGTAGAATTTCACAATGATTGGGTAACCTGCGTCACCTTTCAGAGTAACAGTGTACTCGTCCAAGGCTGCTTTGTCGGCGTACCTGAGATTCTGAGGAAAGCGCGAAATCTCTGTAGAGAAACTGTTGCGGCTGTGGAGCTTCACTCATTGTTCATTCGCCATAGAAAAGATTCCGACATTTAACACTTAATATCTTTTAATATACAGACGTTTTCAAGATAAGCTTCATTTTTGTTTCTAGAAATACTTAATTTTATCTACAAAAATAAGATATTTTCGTGTTTTTAAACTGAGTAAATCGATGACCTAGCATCGTTTTAGATAACTCAAGCCCCTCTAGGGCTTGAGTAAAAATGTCGAGTTCACGCTTTATGCAGATGCATTTTTAAAAATCAAAATTGGCGAGGAACAATGCATTAAATAATGTACAGAAATCCTTACATGTTACTTTTATTGTATCACTTGGCACATTTGTTGTACAACCATATATAGGATTACATTCTTTCTCGTCGCACTGTGAACAGACCTTTTGACAATCTCTCCCAAAGTTTGGATATATACATGGCATAGAACATTCGTGCCCGAAGTAGCCAATCTGACAGTCTAATTTTTGAATTAAGAATTAGATTGATTCATACCTGTTAGTAAGCTTTTTTTTTTCAATATGTTTGGTAGATTATTTGATCTGCATTATCACATCATTATTTCATAAGAATTATAACGTACACAAACAATGCAAAAATTGCAAAAATAAAACTCCTCAGTAAATGAGTATTAACTAGATATTTTGTTTTAAACAAATTCAAGCTGAATGATTGGATTAATTTAAAAATGCTCAAAGATGAGAGAAAAATGTTTTATTCTTGTTAATTAAATAATTCTACAAAATTAGTGAATTCTAAGGAAATATGATACTGACATTCGCACTCGTTGGTTTCCTTATTCCATTTGCAATCTACCAAACACTGTTGCTGTGTATATCTAAATAAAACAAAATAACCTGTTTATTACACATAGACATGGATGGCAAAACTTCATGGAAGATGTGACCGGTCGATAACCATACAAATACAATACTAGTCCTAGGGACCTGATCTCGCTTCTAGATATTGAGAGGTCTGTGGTTTATTTCTGGTTCACAGATTTACATTGGCTGTATTTTTTTAAAAATCGATCATTATCCTTTATCATCAGTTTTCATCAAGTGTACAATATTTGCAGAATATTAAAGTACATAGCATTTTTTATTTGCCAATGATTTTTTTTAATCTTTACTATTTCAAAATAAGATTGTTCGAAATGTTAGCGAGTTCTTTCTTTTTTTTAGATCACCTGAGTAAACTCAGGTGACCTATTGCTATCTGTTTTCGTCCATCGTCGTACGTCGTTCGTCGGTCGTAAACTTTTGAACATTTTAGCTTCTTCTCAAGAACCACTGAACCAATTCCAATTAAATTTGGTACACAGCATCTATGGGTGAAGAGAAACAAACATTGTGAATTTTATGGTCCCCGCCCCCCTGGGGTCTGAGGGGTGGCGCAAAAACCACTAAAATGAATGAAACTCCTGGACATCAAGCAGTCAAATTGTTGGTTTGAATGTAATGAGCATTGAGTCCTCTACCAAAACTGTGAAATTTATGGCCCCAGGGTCCGGGTTTCTAGTGCTAGGGCGGGACTATATAGATTATGAAAATATAGATATATATTAGATTTGTAAAAATTCATTATTTCTTTGAAAATTTCCTTCTTTGCTCCTGGATATTAAATTAACTAACTAAGTACATAGTTATGATAAGCAAGAGTGCCTCTTCGAAAATTGTAAATTTTATGGCCCCAGTGTCAGGGCTTCTTCTGTTTGGGCGGGGCTCTATTGATTATATAGTGAAAATGCATTAATTCTTCGAAAATCCTGCTTCTGTGTATTATAAATACAGGCTAAAATAAAATAAGTACATAGTTATGATGAGCAAGAGAGTCTCTTTCAAAATTTTGAATTTAACGGCCTCAGGGTCAGGGTTTATGGTATTACTGGGCGGGCCTGTATTGGTTATATAGTGAAAATGCATCAATTCTTTGAAAATCTTCTCTGCTCCTGGGTATTAAATAAACTAACTTAGTATATAGTTATAATATAGTTATAATGAGCAAGAGTGCCTCAACCAAATTTGTGAATTTCATGGCCCCTGTGTCAGAGTTTTTTTCCCTCCATTTTATGTAGGGGGGGGGGTACATAGTCTGAAAATAAATTAATGCCTTAAATCTACTCTTTGGTATTAATCAATCATTTATGATAAAATATAATTTACGATAAATTGTCCAAAATTTTAAAATAAGTGGCCCCAGGGGCCAGTTGTTCCTTTGGGGTGGGGTGCCGAACCAAATTCAATTTTTTGAAAGTTGTAACATGATACTCTGGTGACCTAAAATGCCCGTGGGCCTCTTGTTTGAAATATCCTGGTATTTTCATTTTATGCCATCTTCCATTAAAATTTGGAAGGCAGTACATTCTCATAAATTCACATTGTTCATTGATAAATTTAACTTACCTTTTTTAAAATTTAAAATCGCAAATATTCGGGTCACAAAAGAGATGGAAATTATTTAAACAATAAAATGCTTTCTTTGTTTGTTATTACTGGAATTAACGGAAGCAGCTGTTGCAGAAAAAATACATAACCCGCGTAAGCGGGTTATGTAAATTTTTTCTGCAATAGCTGCGACCGTTAATTCCAGTAATAACAAAGAAAGACATTTTATTGTTTATATTTATATATGTTTAAATAATCATTTAAAGTAGAATTAAAAAGATTAATTATTGTATTAATGATGCGAACGTCTTTACACGTTTCATTGATGGAACAGCGACTCATCAAGAAATCTGTACAGGCGACATGCTTAATGTAGTTCATGCAGTGATTAAAGCAATGGGTTTTCTTAAGAAATTAAGGAGAAAATATTCAGTGGATGTAAATGTATTGGTTACATCGTATAACAAAAAAGTCGTAAAACATCATGGTGCAGAGATTAGCAATGCTATTTTGTGTTCATTAGAGAATCACCTATATTAAACTCTGAAATATACATACTATACACTAAAAAAAAAACTAGTTAAAGTCACTGAGAAGATTAGTCAATTTACTGTTCATACATCACTACTTTAAATGTAGTTTTAGTAGGTTTTGGGTAGATTTACTGGATAAAATTAGTAAATCGTGAATTTAAAAGTAATTTTCACTAGGTATATCTAGATATTTATACGACCCCGTTCCACTTCCCACTATCTTAGCCAATAAACAGAAATATTGCTAATCACGAGAGACGCTTTACGAGGCACAGTAGTCAAATTCACTAGGTATATCTTTCAGTGTATGATTATGTCTTCATCGCTTCTTAAAAATGATATATCAAAGATTAAAACAGATTGTGAACGTTTTCAGTAACCTTCGTATCGTTTAAAAGTCATACATTGTAAGTCTCCTTTTTATACAAGCTAATGATCTGATTAGTTTGTGAGCTGTTTCCTTACCTTGAACAAAGGAATGGTTCACACAGCGATATGCAAAATATTGACAAAATAAATATAAGTGTGCGTTTCATTGTGGTTCGTAAATACTTATCCATAAATTATTTAGTCTTGTATTTTAACCCAGTGTAAATTGTAATAAATAATATATTCAATATTTTCCTATTACACAGGCGGATATATTGGAATTACGTCCATACCGACAGCTATATTTTAACAGCACGCGGAAGCTTTTGGTACAATCAATCTGTAAACTTTAACTTTTTTTGAAACTAGAAAATATGTTTCATCGGCTTTATAACCCTGGTGATGTAAGTAACTATATATAAATGAGAACAGAATTTCGATGTTTAACTTTTTATTGTGGATGAGATGCAAGCCATAATTATATGTATATGCTCATGTAACCAATGATTAAAGTTTTTGCAATGTCCGTTAAACTTTATATCTTTTGCTGTCTTTTTGTCCACAAAAAACTTATATCTTGTCCATGACTTTTGATTGGTTGGAATAATGGGTTTATATTTCACATGTATATTCTTTGTGACGAGACATTTCTTAGGGTAGAGTTTTTATCTCTTGACCTAGGAGTTTAACATACATCAGAGATACTTTAACCTGTGTTCTTAGCCGCCATACGGTGGGGACAGCGTTTCGCAGACACACCTTGTTTTCTTTCGTTGAAATAGAATTAAAAAAAATTATGATATATGTTCTAAAACAAGGATCAGTATGAAAAATTCAATTGTCCTAATAATAATAAAACATCTATTTCACGAAACAACTTGAAAGAAAAGAATAATTCAGCCAAATCCAATTTTTTGTTCAATGTCTGTTTACCTTCCTCGATTAAATAAAAAAAAGATGTTCTAGTTTTGAATGCCCCCTCCTCCCATATGATTATTTGGCAAAGTCCATGCTTTGATATGGGAGACCTGGAAGAAGTGTGGGATGAAAGAGTAAATTTTAAATTAAAGATGCATGATGGCACTATGTAATAAAGAACCTACTAAATGAAATACATGGAGATAACAAAGAAAACTCAAGCTCAAAAGTCCATTTAACAAAATACATTTTAAAGCAGCGCAAACACGAACCTTTAAAACATCCAAATTTGGGATCAGGTGCCAACCGCGGCCGGTGAACCCGCCGCGTGCTCCTTGCCATGATCTGGAAATAACGGGAAACATACATCGAAAATTCAGTTTGTAAATAACGACCTAACTTTTAGTATGGAATACATCAGTCAGCATTTAACTTGATGATCGATTGTTTGTACTAATAAGATCATTGTTTGGACCATAGAACATACGAAATGATTACTTTAAACGAGATTACTGATAATCTTGTTTGTCAATGTTTTTTTCAATAACTTAAACGTTTTAGAAATTGTTCATATGTAGAACATGGTCTTGCGTATTGAACCAGCTAGAGATATAAAGCAAAAATCCTGGAAATCTGGAGTCTAGAAAGTGAGCCCTATATACATGTATATTGATCAGGTGGGCAGAACATCCTATCTAGTCAAATTCAGTAAAAAAATTAAGAAAATTAAAAGCCTAAAAATTAGAATAAAAGGCATCCGCCAAAATGAATCCAATGATAGCTTATATTTGTGAAAGA